AACTAGTACTTTCAACTTCTAGCGAAACAATTAGAAAATCGGAAAAAAATGTGATTTTCAGGCCAAAAAATATTAGCGTAAGGCGTACATAACGTTTATTATTTTTGAAAAATATTCTTTAAAGTTTTTAGTTTGATATCGATCTAATCACCAGATCCATTTAAAAAAAGTCCCCCTATGTTAATTCGTATCGCAGAAAACTGGCGAGTGCGGCACATCAAACGGGATTCCTCACGATTTCTTATTCGCCCCGAGGATAATCTTCCTCATTAAATACACGGTGTTTATCGCATTTTCTGTTAAACATCTCTTACTCAAAAGCAAATGAGTTTTGCCACACGGGGAATTTTTCCTCGTCGTCTCGATGTCAGACTGACGTTTCTAGTCGAAACAAATTGCCCGGAATTCTTCCTCGAAAGAAGTGCAAATAGACTCTTGTTTGCTAAACGGTCGATTTATCACTTTGAGCCCGAGTGTCGTACTGCGTTTCAAGTGTATTGGACGACACGAGAGAACCGCCTGAAACATGTTTTGTGTACCATTAAAAAAGCTCCCGCGTGAGGTAAATCATACTTTATTTATCACATATAAAAACCTCTTGGTATATGTAGATAGGATTTTTTTAATATTGTTATGAGGTAGCAAACTGTGAAATATTCAGAAATGATTGCAATGCCTGTTCGGGAGGAAAACAGGGACTGATTAATTAATACAGTATTATGGTACAGAATAATCACTGAAGATGTTGTAAAGTTGAAAAGTGCCTAACTGGCAAAACCACGAGAATGGGCGGACCAAGATGATTGGAAACCTAAGAATTTCTGAATTCCTTGAGTTCCATTTTTGGTTTTCCCAAAATAAAACAGTCCGAGAAGATAAAAATAAAACTTTATATTCCTCCATCTCGCTAGCAATAAAAACGGATTAAAACCGACTGTGATTTATTGGGCTTGATTTTTTATTTCATACTTAAATTTAATTTTTTTTCTGGATGTATTAGAAAGAACAGCAAGAATTTGTCACTCTGATTGTAACATATTTCTAAAATAGACGTAGAGATGTAAGGTTAAACAATAGACAAATGAAAATAAATAATTTATTTTGTTTGTATTTTTTATTGACCACTACTATTATTATTAATTTTTAAGGGCGTTTTAACGGCTAAGGTCATTTCACGCCCTAACATCCAAATCTTCTATCTTAGGTTAGCTATATCCCTTCTGAGTGCTATAAAGCTCTGACTCCAAACATTCACTCGTAAACTAATTTATCCTATTGCCATCCAAGCTTTAATTTTTCTTTTTTTAAAATTCACTACTATTAATATAATTGGTCAAGCGGACCACTAAAACTAGTGAACTATTATATAGTTATTTTTTATAGCCTTGATGGTGATATTTATAAATTGCTAGCTTTGAAGAGAAAGATCTGGTAGTTCAGTGGGGTTTTTCATTAAATTTAGTTCTGGTCACACGTGTGTTCATCCCACGAATCTCGTGACCTCCAGGAGACACGTTTCGACTTCACGATTCACGATCACTAGGGCACCTGCCTCGTCTCTTCCCCGAAAAAAATTTGACCCGAAACAACGTCACAAAAAACAAGAAAAAGAGTTTTAAAAAGATTTATGCCTATATATTCATAAACAACCCCAATGAAGCACTTTCACGGACAAAACCGCAAACTCTTACAAATCCCATTTCCTTTGTAAGGTCTTTGGTTACCCAGACGAGAAAATCCGCTTTGTCTCTCCCCTTTCTTCCGAGACGAAGACACCTACGAGACAGAGTTAAATAAACGCTGTATTTTTAGGCTGCCCTTCATCATTTGTTCTTAATTAAAACGGCGTGATCTTTAATTGAGTTATACACACCCTTCAGTACGTTTTTACGACGACCTAACGCAATCTACTTCAATCAACTGTCATTCTTCCAAATCGAAAATCACATTTGAGAATATCACACTCGATTTCTTTTAATAGCGCATCCTGGTATTCTTTGCTTTGATATTTTCGATCCTTTTCATTTTTCTTTGTTTCATTTATTTTTTTAGTGCACCGATAAAATTGAGATTTATCAAAGTGACTATTTGGGTTTAAGATGAGGCAAACTTTGAAATTCTTGTTATTGAAATTAGCGTGCAGTTACAAAACGAAATACAGTACTAGGAACACCAAAGCTCCCGCATTGGTCAGATTGAACTTGTACAGAATAAATTTCTTCGATTTGTTTCTTCTAAATTTAAGATACATAACGATCCTCATACCTATGAAACAATTTTAAAGGCGCTGAAGTTCCATAGATTGAGTATTAGAGGACTGGTGTGTGACTTTTTTTGTATAAGTTGTTAAATAATGTAGTAGATTGTTCCTACTTATTAACATTAATTCAGCTTAAAGTTCCAACTTTTCATTCATGATCTAATGTCCTATTTCATGTGAAGCACGATGACACAAATTATACTAAAAATCAGCCGATCCTAAAAATTTTAAGACAAGCTA